GCTGCCATCGGAATTTTTCTGTCTTGTTCCTCTTCAAATTGTGCCTGAGAACTTCAGGAATTGCCACGGGCACATCCCAGTGTCGCAGCGGCCAGAAAATGATGATTTTTGTATCGAATTGGCCCCATAATCAGGGGTCACAGGACCAGAGGCTGCTCCAAAACGGAGACAGAAAAAGGAGGAGAAAACCCCCTAAAATTTGAGCCATTTTTTGATCTTTTCCCCGTGTTTCTTTCTTTTCCTTCCAAGCCCAGGGAGAATTAAGGAATTAAAGGTTAAAGAATTGTCCTTTGGGGCTTCATAGAACCAGAAAATGGTTTGGGTTGGAAGGGACCTTGAAGATCTTTGATTTATGGGCAGGGACTCCTTCCCCCATCCCAGGTTGCTCCAACTTGTTCTTGGACAATTCCAGGGATGGGGGCAGCCAGAAATTCCCTGGAAAAGAGAATTTCCCCACCCTCCCAGGGGAGAGTGGGCTGCTCCAACAACTCTTTCATTTATTTTAATTTATTTACGGGAAAGTTCAAGGAACTCACAGAATTCCACCAAAAATTTGCCTTTCAGGTAAATATTCCTGTGGGAATTTCTAAGGAAAGTTTTCCAAGGAAAGTTTTTCCCCCCCAGGCTGTTTTTAAACAATTTTAAAAAACTGTAAAATTACCGCGTGGGGATGTAATTACATCGCAGCCCGGGGCAGGTATTGAGACACAAAATAATCCGAGTCACCCGTGCTTGACTCTCATTGGGAACAGGGAACAGCCACGCCTGCCCCGAGGGAAGATCCGAATGGGATTGGGAGAGTTCCAAAACCTCTTTATCCCTCTTGGAATGACTTTGTGTCGCCGCCGAAAGGACCCGGGCACCTTCCGGGTGTGGGAAAGGCACCAGAAGCTGCCACACTCACCCAGACTGGCAGAAACCCCCCAAAATTATGGATAAAAACCACAGGAAAACTCTGTATTTTGATGCGCAACGGTTTAATGAGAAAGGAGGAAGCGAAATATCACGGCGGGGATGGAAAATCCTGGGAGAAATGAAGGAAAGAATCGCTCCAGGGCTGGGCATTCCACACGGATGACTCCTGGGTTTTTGGGCGGGGGAAGGTGACACGACCTCATCCCACTTTCAGCCAGCCAGGGATCATGGATGGGACGGTTCTGAGGTCGGGTTTTTTTTGCAGGAGCGGCGGGGGGGAAAAAAAAAGAAAAAGAAAAGGGAATTTGCATAAAAGCGCGGGGCAGAGGATGCCCCGGGAAATGCCGCCGGGATTTGGGGCTGAGGATGCTCCGGGAACTGCGGGGATTTGGGGCTGAGGATGCCCTGGGAAGTGCCGGGATTTGGGGCTAAGGATGCTTCAGGATCTGCCGGGATTTGGGGCTGAGGGTGCTCCGGGATCTTCCAGGATTTATGGAGGCTCCGTGGTGGCTCTTGGCTCCTTCCTGCTCATTCCTGAGATGTTTAACAGGGTCTGCAGCTCCCAGAGGATCCATAGGATGAGTAGGACCTCCCGTAACTGTAGGAGCCATAGGAGCCCCCGGATCCCAGGAAGTTTCCGGATCCCAGGAAGTTTGAGGGTGCTGAGGAGCCCACGATGCTCTCCTGGGGGCAGGAGCTGAGGATGGGGCCAGGGAAGGTGATGACCACGGGCGGTGGGTGGATGACGGCCCGGGAGTCCCCACAGGAGGTGACGCAGGGCTGGTTCCAGGTGTCGGCACAGGGCTGGGGACAGGAGATCCCACAGGGGGTCAGGCAGCGGGAGCTGGAGCTCTGTCTGTAGGAAAACATCTTCTGGGATTGGGGATGGGTCTGGAACCACGGAGCTGAGGCAGCAGGAAGGTCAGAGACCTATCGAATGGAGGCTGGGCTGGGAGGAGAAAGAACGGACGGCAAAGAGGTCACAAAGAGGCTCAAAATTTGGGGTTTTCCATCTTCTCATGTCTTTTTCTCCTGTGCCTCCTGACTCTTAATTATGGAGTCAATTTGACACAAAAATATCCCCCACAATGAACAGCAAACCCCAAAATGAACAGCAAACCCCAAAATGAACAGTAAAACCCAAAGTGAACAGTTACCTCCAAATTAACAATAACCTCTAAAATGAACAGTAAATCCCAAAATGAACAGTAACCCCCAAAATTACCACTAAACCCCAAACCCTGCCCTGGCCCTGGTGGCCCCACAATCCTGGATCCAAGCAAAGCTCAGTTCAGATCCCAACAGTTCCAGGGACAATTCCAGGCTCGGACTTACCCTGTGGAGCTCGGAGCGAGTCGGGAGGGTTTGCTGGAGCAGCCCAGGGCTGAGAGGGTTTTTATACCTTTTCTTGGGCAATCAGCTGGAGCTGAAACATCGACGGCTGATGAATGATCCAAGAAAAATTCCCTCCACCTCTCATGGCCCAGATAAAGCGATTATTTTGCTCAGCAATTATTACTGTTGTTGTTACATCCACGGCATTACTCAGGCACAGTAATGATTTATTTTTCTTAATTTTCCTTGTTGCTTTTTCTTACTTCTGGGATTGCCTCACGATTGCTCAGAGCTTGATCCATCAGCACAAGGTGCTGACATAGCTCGGCTCCCACCCCGCTTTTTCCGAGGAAAAATTGTGCAATTTCTGCCATTATTGACCCACAGTGACTCCGGTGACTCCGACTCGGGGCACGTTCATCCACAGACACCTTCCTGTGGAATTTGGGAATGGGAAGAACTCCTTCCCACCCTCCTGGTCACGGAACACCCCCAGCTTCATGAAATGTCCATGGGGAGTAACTGGGGAGTTTTCCGGGAGAAATCCACGTCCACTTTTTAGGGAATCTGTGGGATCAGCACTGCTGAGGGAGGAGGATTCGTGGACTGGGGTGAGCCAGGTCAGGGAGGGGATCCTGCATCACCCCTGGAAAACCTGGGAACGGCCAGGTGCAGCTGAGGCAGAGGTCTGGCTGCCACTTCAGCAGATTCGTTCCTCAGATTTCCCCCTCCCCAGTCATTCACGGATTACATTTCCTGCTGTGTCTCCATTTTCCATACCCAACATTATTCCCATATTTCCTCAAGAAATCAGCTTTTTCCCCCTGCCAGAATCCCTCCCGTTTATGGAGTTATAAACTGGACAACGGGGGTTTTAGTGGCCCTGAGAATTCTGTCCCAAAATGTCCATTTTATTACATTTTTTCCCATTGGTAACTGTTAGGGTTGGAAGCCTGAGGGAGCCTTTCCTGGGGTTTCCCTGAGTTTTCCCAACCCTTGGAATTTACATTTAAGAGGATTCACCCAAACCAGAACCAGGATTAGGAGAAACCAGGGAAGGAGAAATTGCGGGGCCACAACCCCTGGGAGTTGCTGGAAATCCCTGTCCCAACATCCCCATCCTCCTAAAAGGGCAAAAAGAGAAACCCAGTGGGATCAACCCAAATAAACCCTAAAATTCTTCCTTTTGGCTCCTGGTGTTTGATTCTCCCTCTCTGCTCTGCTGTGCTGAGATCCCACCAGGAATTCTGTGCCAGATTCTGGTGTCCCCAAACCGTGAAGCTGCTCAGGGGACTGGAGCCTCTCCCTGATGGATCCAGGCTGGGAATGTTGGGAATGTTGAGCCCCCAGAGCCCCTCCAGGATCTGCAGGGGCTCCAGAGAAGCTGCAGAGGGATTTTTCCTCAGGAACTGCAGGGACAGGACACAGGGAGTGGGGTCAGGGGGAATTTGGGTGGGATTTTGGGGAGGAATTGTTCCCTGTGAGGGGCTGTCCCAGGGAATTCCATGGATTTCCCAGCCCGGGAAGTGTCCAAGGCCAGGCTGGTCTATGGAAGCTGCCCCTGCCTGTGGAGCAATTCCACCAAAAGAAAAAAAATAAATAAAATTCATCCCTCAACATTTTTCCCAACTTTGCAAAATCAGCAAAAACGTTGCAGGAAGTGAAACCGCTTCCAAAAAAACTGAAGGAAGAAACTGGAGGGTGTTGGGAGAAACTGATAATTGCTTTGAGGCGGATAAAACAACCCGAGCCCGGGCAGGGATCGCCTCCCGAGGGTTGGGAAACTCCAGGGATGGCTCAACGCCCCCAGGCGATCCTGGGACGGGATAAAAAGCTCTCGGCTCCCAATTCCTCCCATCCCAGCTCTGAATTCCTGAGATTTCAGCTCCTCAGGCTTCTCCTCTTCGGGTTCTGAGTGAGTCTGGGGGATGCTTTGGGCATGGTCGGGGCGGGAGCTGCTCCTTGGGGAGACTGGGAGAGCCCTGGGGAGCAAAGGAGGGAAAGGGAGAGGGAGAAGGGAAAAAGAGAGGAAAATCTGGAGGTTTTGGAGAGGGAGTTACTTGGGAAGGAGGGAGGGAGGAACAGGGAGAAGGGAAAAAGAGAGGAAAATCTGGAGGTTTTGGAGAGGGAGTTACTTGGGAAGGAGGGAGGAAAGGAGAAGGACAAGGAGATGGATAGGGAGAAGGGAAAGAGGGAGAAAAATGTGAGTTTTTGGAGAAAAGCTGTTTGGGAAGGAGGGAGGAAAGGAGGAGAGGGATGGGGAGAAAGGAAATAGGGAGAAAAATCTGAGTTTTTCCAGAGCAGGTGCTTGGGAGGGAGGGAGGAGAGAAGGACAGGGATAAGGGAAAAGGAAAGTACAGAAATAAAGGGAAAAGAGGAAAAATCTGAGCTTTTGGAAAAAAAGGTGCCTGGAAGAGAGGGAAGGAGGCAGGGAGGGAGAGAAAGAGGGAGAGGGACAGGGACAAGGGGAAAAAGAGAGAAAAATCTGAATTTTAACAGAGCAGGTACTTGGGGAGGGAGGGATGGAGGGAGAATGGGAGAGGGATAGGGAGAAGAGAGAAAGAGAAAAATCTTCTGAGATTTTGGAGAGTTTTTTGAGGGAGGGAAGGAAGGAGGGAGGGAGGGGAGAGGGACAGGGAGAAGGGAAAGAGAACAACACGGGCAGGGGCTCTGCGGTGCTGATCTCCAACCCTGCCTCCTCCCCTGCCTGCCTCCCCTTCCCGCAGCAGTTCCAGCTCTCTCCCGCCGGGATGTCCTTCTCCAGCCAGCTCAGCTCCCGCTGCTCCGCGCCCTGCGCCGTCTCCTGCCCCCAGCCCTGCGCCGACACCTGGAACCAGCCCTGCGTCACCTCCTGCGGGGACTCGCGGGCCGTCATCCACCCGCCGCCCGTGCTCATCACCTTCCCGGGGCCCATCCTCAGCTCCTGCCCCCAGGAGAGCATCGTGGGCTCGGCGCTCCCGGCAGGAATGGAGCGCCCCGGGGGCCTGCAGGGCTCCCTGCTCTATGGGGGCTTCTTCTCCTCCTCCAGGGGCGCCTGGGGCCAGCGCTCCGGGGGCTGCGGGCCCTGCTGAGCCGGGAGAGGGATGGGGACACCGCGGGGAGAGGCAGCAGGAGCTGGGGCAGGGGCTGAGCGGCTCGGTGGGGCTGGGAGTGGGTCAGGATTCATGGGAAAGGTTCAGGATCCCATGGGAGCTGTTCAGGATCCGTGGGAACTGCTCAGGATTCACCAAAGCTGCTCAGAATCCATGGGGATCGTTCAGAACCTGTGGGAACTGCTCAGAATCCATGGAAAGATGTTCAGGATCCATGGGAACTGTTCAGAATCCATGGGAGCTGCTCAGAATCCATGGAAAATGTTCAGGATCCATGGGAGCTGTTCAGGATCCATGGGAGCTGCTCAGAATCCATGGGAATTGTTCAGGATCCATGGGAATTGTTCTGGACCCATAGGAACTGCTCAGAATCCATGGAAACTGCTCAGAATCCATGGAAAATGTTCAGGATCCATGGGAACTGCTCAGACTCCATGGGAACTGCTCAGAATCCATGGGAAATGCTCGACATCCATGCAAACCCCTCAGCATCCCTGGGAGCTGCTCTTCCTCTCCCCCTTCCTGTTTTTAATGTCACTTTTCTCCAAATTTGCCTCTCCCTTCCTCAAACCCTGAATTGTTTGCCCACTTTTATCCCAATAAATTTCTGTGTTTGCATTCAAATCTCTTGGATTTCTTCTCTTTTTTATAAAATCTCTGCAAACCCACGGGACCAAACTATCTCATTATCCCAGAGAATTTGGGAGGAGGGTTTGGCTCCTCCAGGCAATGTCTTTATGGATTCACCCATCAGAAAATTCCCATTTCACCTTCCCAGGGAACCACATGGGACAAAAAATTCCACGAAAAATTTACGTGTCCACTCCAGAACTGCTCCAAGAGCTCATCCCACCCGAACAGAAAACTCCAAATTGTGATGCAGAAAGGATTTTATTGGGGCCAAGCAATGGGATTCATCCCGCCACAGCAGCGCCACCCGGAATTCCAGGGGAATTCAGAGGGAATTCCAGAGGAATTGGGGCAAATTCACAGCAAAGCAGAATCGATGGGAATTGCGAGCGGGGATCTGATCCGGAGGGAATCACGGGGCTGGGATCGCTCCTGGGAACATTCCTGGGGTCGTTCCTGGGATCATTCCCGGATCGTTCCTGGGTTCAATCCTGGGATCGCTCCTGGGGTCATTCCTGGACCATTCTTGGGATGGTTCCTGGAATCGTTCCTGGGATCATTCCTGGGATCATTCCTGGGATCGTTCCTGGAGTCATTCCTGGATCATTCCTGGGATCAATCCTGGGATTGTTCCTGGGATGAAGGAGCAGCCCCGGCCCCTCTCGGAGCTCTCCCCTCGCTCACAATTTGTGGATTTATTTCTCTTTCTGCTGCTTTTGGTCGTGCGGGGATCCTTTGCTGGGCTTGGGAGGGTGAGGGTGGGAGGGGAAGGGGTTTTGGGGGTGGGAAGGGAAGGGTTTTTGGGGGTGGGAAGGGAAAGGTTTTTGGGGGTGGGAGGGGAAAGGTTTTTGGGGGTGGGAAGGGAAGGGTTTTTGGGGGTGGGAAGGGAAGGGTTTTTGGGGGTGGGAGGGGAAAGGTTTTTGGGGGTGGGAAGGGAAAGGTTTTGGGGGGTAAGAGGGGAAGGGAATTCCAGGATAGCAGGAGGAGGAGGAGACACCTCCCGACTCGAAGGAATTTCCCATTCCCAGTGGGAACGGGGAGCCCACGATGCTCTCCTGGGGGCAGGAGCTGAGGATGGGCCCCGGGAAGGTGATGAGCACGGGCGGCGGGTGGATGACGGCCTGGGAGTCCCCGCAGGTGGTGACGCAGGGATCGCTCCAGGCGCTGGCCACGGGCTGGGGACAGGACACGGCACAGAGCGACTGGGAGGACATCGCGGGCTGGAGGAGACAGAGAGGGGACAAGGTGAGGGGACAGAGCAAAGGGGAACCCTCATTTATTCATTATTTATTATTCATTATTTATTATTTATTATGTATTATTTATATTTATTATTTATTATTTATATTCATTATTTATTTTTCATTATTTAGCATTTATCATTTATTATTTACTAATTATATTTATTATTTATTATTTACTATTGCTATTTTTATTTGCTATTAATTATACTTTCTATTTATTTTTATTTATTATTTGTTATATTTATTCAGTATTTATTAGAACCCCTATTTATTTATTTATTTATTTGTTTGAATATTCATAGTCCCAATGTTCGTATATTCCAATACTCACATTTCCAGTTTTGATATTTTCCGTGTTCATAGTTCCAATGTTCATATTTCTAATACTCATATTTCTTATCTTCGTATTTCAAATATTCATTTATTTTAAAATTCATCTTTTCAAAATTCATATTTCCAATGTTCGTGTTTCTAATTTTCATTCATTCGTTCATCCATCAATTCAAATATTCATCTTTTCAATATTCATATTTTCATTATTAATATTTTCAACTTTCATATTTATAATACTAATACTTCTTATATTCATATTTCTTATATGCATTTATTAAATCAATCTCTGAATTAACGCCATTTTATTTTATTAACGCAAATTTTACCCCATTTATTTCCGACTGTTCTGCTCCCAAATCTTGAACCATCTCCCACCACTCCATGTGAATTATTTAGAGGTAAAAATTCTCAATTTTTGCAATTTCCGAACTCAAACCCTGCCCGACCCCCAGACCTGACTTACGCTGTGGCACAGCAGGAGATGGGATGAGAATCGCAGAAAAATGATTTAAAATCTCTCTGCAGGAGCTTTTATAGAGCCTCACTTCGCCCCGGGGGGAGGGAACCACTCCTGTCCGCTTTGTCCCCATCGTCCCTCAAATGCCTTTTGCTGTTTTTGCTTTTGTCTCTCAATCCAGGTATTTGTGGCCTTTGTTTCTCCCAAAACTCCACCTGGCGCTCCCTTAAATCCCGGAGATTTTGGGATGACAGACAGGGAGGGCGATTCCCACCCTTGGCGCAACTCCCGAGATTAAGACTTCTTTTGCTGTGAGCTTCCATATCGCTTTTTTTTTCCCCAAAAAAATTGTCCCCAAATCCCCCAGTTCAATATCCCGGCGCGGGCCGGCCTCTCCATCTCCTGTTTTTGTTTTCTCCAAACAAAGAATTCCTGGCTCGGAGCCGGCGCAGGAGATGAAAGGAGCGAGGCCCCGGGCTCCTCCCTGGATCTCCCTCCCCTCTGAATCAACAGCCGGGGCTGGGATTTCACCTCAGACTTTTTAATAATCCCCGTGAGGAAATCGGCCCCGAAAATTGCCCAATTCCCTCGGGGTGCCGGGAAAACCAGGGGCTGGGTGTGAAAAACAAGGGTTTGGCATCGTCCCGAGATCAGAGAGCAGAGAGATTAAAATTAAAATTAAAATTAAATTGTTTTGGCAGCCGCTCCAGCCGGTGCCATCGCAGGGGAAACGCGATTTCCAGGGAAGGAGGCACGCAGAAATCCAGGGATCATTCCCAGCCCCTGAGGAGGAGGAGGAGGAGGAGGAGGAGGAGGAAGGCTTTGGGGTGAGGATGAAGAAGGGCAAACAATGATTCAGGAATCTGGAGACGTTTCTGACAGGGATCTTTGCCTCTCCCATGGTCACTCCTGACTCAGGACCCCGCGCCCGCCCCAGACTTCCCCCAGGAGCTGCTGAGCCCGCAGAAAACCCTGCTTGATTAAGCATTAATTAGCAATAATCACCTTTTCCCTTGCACTTTCCAGGCCCGCACCTCCCACGCCAGACGGGGAATCACGGGAGGCTCCGCTGATGGTTTTTATTTTTAATTTTTTTTTTTTTTTTTTCTGGTGGGGATGATGAAGACAAACCCAGAGGATTTATAAAAACATCCCGAGGCAATGCGGGGAACCTCTGGGAGGAGATCTCGGGCACGGCCGGGACTTGTCAGCGAGATTAATGTCATTAAAATTTCATTATCCCCTGGAATTTTTTTTTTTTTTTTTCTGGCACTGAAGGGCCCAAATTCCCATTTTTCAAAATTACCCAGAACTTGTGGCTGGGAGGAAACCACCGTGGGCGATTCCTGGAAATCAAACGGAGCATCTGGGAGAGAAATGAGGAATCCCAGGAGGAAGAGAGAGGTGGAATAACCCCAGGGCAGGGCGGTGCAGAAAATGGTTTTTAATGGACACGAGAAGCAGAACCGGCACTCACAACAACACAAAATTAGCAGGGACACCTTTAATATCCCGAATTCCCACCAGAATTCCCACTTTTCTCACAATTCAGCCCCTCATCCTTGGAAGCGAACCCTCTGGAAGTTTTCACCAGGGGCCACAACTTCCTTTTTTTTTAAATTTTTTTTTTCCCCCCCCAAATAGATTTTTCCAGTCTTAGGGCACGTAACCCAAATAAGAGCTGATTAACATAAAATTAACATTCCAGGTCCAGGCGTAATCCAGCCTGGGAGTGTTTGGGAAGCGTTCTGGCTCCCTTTGTTGTGCGGAAGCCCTGGGATATTTTGGGGCGGGGGTAATTGCGGGGAATGACCCGGAATTCCAGCTCCAACGTGGCCATTAGGGAAGAATGAACCGAACATGGTCTTTAGGATAAAAACAGCGCCCGGAATGGCTCGGAATGGGATGAGCAGGACACGCCTGGCATCCCAAACTGCCCGGAGGGATCCGCTGCTGGCACCGGCTCCTGGAATTTGGAGCTCCAGGTCCCTCCCTGTCACCGCCAAGAGGTGGAGAAGAGTCCTTGGAAAAGCAGTTCAGGAAAGTTTGGATGCAGAAATGTGGGGAAAAAAAAAAGCTTGGGTTTGGCTCAGTTCCCTTTGTTTAGAGGGAAGGAAATCCCCAAACAGAGCTGGGTATGAACAGGAAGCTTAAAAATTCCCATTTTACTTCAATCTGAAGGTTTTATCCTGGAAAATGCAGGGTCAGGTTTTTTGAGGAATAAAATATTTTATCCCAGAAAATGCAGGGCCAGGTTTTTTGAGGAATAAAATATTTTATCCCAGAAAATGCAGAGCCAGGGTTTATTTTAGGGA